ATATATATATCATACATGTCACAGAAAAGAACAGTTCCAATCGATCTCAAAGTTCTTGTAGCTGTGACGAGGCAAATCCCTCAGAAGAATTACTCACACAGTTGTGCCTAGGTAGTGGCAGATACAAGATGACTACCATGTATTGTCTTGAGCTTTTCCATATTCTCCACATTTTCTACAATTAGTAAGGATTACAGAGATAATCAGGGAGAAAAAGCGTTACAACTTTTATAGGACAGCCATCAACCAGACTGAACAGCTCATGTACTCTGCCCCCACCTCCACTGGTCTGCAGCATGCCTCTAATGGACTAAATGTAAAACTGATTCTCAATCTTCCCTTTAACTGTAGACAGCAAAATGCCTTAAGCTGAACTGTCTCTCCTCTGATAAATAAAAACCAATACAAAGACCAAAAATATATGCAGCCTTTTCAAATTGTTAAGTTCCATATTGAACCAAACTGTTTACCAATTCCTGTTTCTTTGCTCCTCTGGGAGACAATCATTTCCACAGCATTCACAGAATACACAGTTAAAAACATACTTCAGTTTACCTTTACAATGTAGTTTTTTAAAGCATACAAATTATCCTAAGGAATCAAATATGTGAGAAAACACTGAGATAATGACCCTTCCTTGGCCAATCCATAAAAGTCACTGCATAAAGTACATGGCTGGAGCAGCCTCTGCCCTGCCTCCCATCAGTTTCTCCATTAATTATGGCTTTTGCCTTCAAGGCATGGGCTGGACTTGCCACAGACAGGAAGTTGAAGGCTTTCCAATGACACCTACCCCAAGAGTACAGTTAATTTTACATGTGCTACTCAGCAAGTCTTAGGACTCCCTCAAGGCATAATCATCAGTGGGAAATGACAGCAGCAGCTTCCCATTACAAAAATCCTTAGGTAAAAAACAAATTTCCATCTCATATAAAATGGCAGGAAAATGAACCTGGAAATACAGCTTTCGCGTCTCAAATACAACTAGAGGTCAGCACAGAGATACAAGGAGGTTCAGAAAAAGGGCTAGGAGAAAAAGAAGGCAGGAGAAATGGTATCCCAGAACTACAAGGCATCTCAGCTGATTCCAGTTCCCCCAAAAGAGGAAACACAAGTCCTAACAGTTAAATTCCATTGCAACATCCCAGTTACAGCATAATCAGGAGTAAGAAGCAAAAACTTTGGATTGTGTTTCTCAAAGAACACAACTTCTATAGGATAATTAATTTCCAAGAATAGTAGTAGACCCAATATACTGCACAGTCTTTTGTTTTGTGCCACATGTAAAATCAACCTTGAGGTAAAAAATTTGTTTAAGGTGATGATTATCCTTGCCTACTCAATTCTCACCCATAGATGGGAGCATACACAGCATATAGTACCTTCTTATTCTGACATCTTATTAGACTTTGTGATGAAAATGTTACGAAATTCATACATGAAAGTAGGTTTCTAGACACACCATAAAGTCTTAATAGCCATGATTTCTGTTTTTATTTTCTCTAATACCTCCCTAAATCTCAACTGTCATATTATATGGATAGTAGGAACTTAATAAATATTTGGGTGGATGGATGAAAAGACAAAACAGATTCTAAAGTTTCCTGGGGACACTACAACATAGTCACTAAAAAAATTAGTAAGAGAGATATACATTAAACATAATAGTTTTTTAGATCATTATATATGATCAGTTTCACCACACTGAGCTTAGTAACTGAGGTTCCCAAATCTCAAATTGGACTTTAATTTCACATATACCCCAAGACAAAACATATTAAACTACTCTTCCCAATTAAGATGATGACACCTATAACAAAACTCAAATGGAAAGAATTGGTTAAGTGAGTGAAAGTGTGCATGGTTGTGTCTGTGTGTATTATCAGGAAAGGAAGGAAAACACTGATGGGATGTGATTGTGATTACACCATAAGAAGGGGGTAAAAAAAGTAACTTGAGACCTGGTATCTGAAGGAGGTATATTCAGGTTGGCTGCATTCATTGCCCTCTGTAAGCTAGGACTGATCTGGTTGCATGCTGTAGAGACCTGGCTTGCTGGAGGTGAATTGGGTCCCAGTCGCTGAACCATCATGGGACTGCTGGTGACCACTAGATTGTTGCAGCTGCCTTTTCCAATGGACTTGCACTGAGGCCCAAAGCCAAGAGCCCCTAAAAACAAATGAATCAGGTTAGCTTTCATGTCCCTTACATCAGAAATCAGTAAATACACACATGTGCACACTTATATCAGGACCCATCTTTAGGGACAGTCCTTAGGTCATCCATTCATTTTAATTGGTGATACAAAAACGCTTTCTCTAATTTCAATAAAAAAAAACCATGTTACTACAACAGAAACCCTTCTATGATACTACATATACATTATGTGCTTATATTTTGTTCCTTCAATATAGAAGTGTCCAGTTATTAAGAATTATATTTTATCATCTCCTTACCTAAAGGGTTAAGGTGGTAAGGAGATGGGATTACTTATATCAAATCAAGTTCTTTTCTATAATAGCTAAAATCTTGAATCACTCCAGCAGGGAAAGTTGACACGGCTGAAAAAACTTGTTTAACTGGTTTACTTCACTCCAATTCAGGCCTTCCAAAAAGCCTTTTCTAAAAGGCTATAGTCTAGCTGTGTCTCTCCAATCTTACTTTTCCTCCTCATCCCAATACATTGTCATTGGACACAACCCCAGATATTTAAAAAAAAAAGTCCAGAGGAGAGAGCCCTAAACAAATATTCATTCTAAAAGCAGCATGGTAACCAAATTCATCACAGATTTTTCATTTCATTAGTAACAATCTTCAAATGTAGTAAACTTTGGTACATGCTCAAAGAAAAAAAGAGAGGAAAAAAAGGAACCCATAAGAATCTGTGCTGTTACAGAAAAGTGCAAAGCATAGAGGAGAAAGAAAAACACTGTCATGATTCATTTGTAAGAAAATAATAATAGTGACAGAATCATTCTAGACATTCTTTTTACATGGATATACTTTTTCAAACATATTTGCAAATTACCTGGTCAAGTCTCAGTGACTGTACACTCTGTTCCCATTTTAAACAAACAAAAATAAATATGATCTCATTTTTTAATAAATTAGCCTCTAAAATTTTCTCACTAAATTCCCCAACTTTCTTATTGATATATTTAGGATCAAAGTAGGTTAAAAAGGATCACTGTAATTTTCCTTAGCCCTAGGGGACATAATTTTCTATTTTGTGATTCCAAAAACTAAATCAATAGCTAAAAAATTACTTTACCATCTTTCATAACATTCTCTTCTAAAAACCCACAAAACTGAAGGATAAACAAGACCTTAGAGCAATCACCATGCTCTCATCAATGAAACCACATCTCAAAACTGCTGGGAGAGTCACAGCATCTTTAGCTGGCAGGATCCCTGCCCTGCTCCAGCCCTCTGGAAAACCAAAATCCAAATGTTAATTGACTTACCCAAGGGCACACAAGATTACCTAACAGCACATAAACTAGGATGTATTTTCATGCCACCTGTGTGCTAGTGTGTGGGTGCTAAATACTTTGATACTTGCCAAGATCCTTAGCCTCAACAATTTCTTTGATTTTTTTTTTTTAAGACACAAAAGCCAGGACCTTCTCTCTAATCTGCTCACTGCACCTTATATCTGATGTACCTTTTTGTGCCTTGAAAGATCAATTAAACAGTTTGCTTTTTTAACTCATAACACTACAATTTCCAAAGTACTAAGAGTAGTGGATACGTTTTTATGCAACAATTATAAACTTAGCATCTTTAGATATTCCAGATTTTCTTTTCAAATTTGCCATTTCAAATCCTCTATGATCTTAGAAAATAGCTATGTGATGACTCATCGCCTGGTGCAACATATAAGATACTCAAATTCTCTCCCCAGGCCCTGTCACTACCAACTAATGGCATTAAAAGCAACATCAGACATCAGGTATTCTGTCAAATCCAATGCCAAAGAAGGAGCCAAATTATTTCATGCCTGTTTCCTCAATAAAATTTCCTCCTCGATGTCTACGTCAACAACAAAATCATGATAGCAGCTAGAAGAGCACACACAAGAAATACTCCATAGTGGGAAAGAATATTAATACATTGTTTTAACAAACTTCTGCTGTCATAAGATATAAGGCATACCATTAGTTTATGTAAGTAAGAACATGCACTGTGCATTACACTCGTGTTTGGTTCCAGATTTCATAGATGTTCTGACGTGAAAATATTCCTATCTCAGAATTGTTAAATACTAATATGATAGCTAAAAATTTTCTTTTAGCCCTTGTCTTATTCTTGCTGTTCTCTTTACCTAACTTGTCTACTAGTAAGCACTTCCACATCTTCAAGATATCAATTCCATGGTCATCTCCTCCCTGAATCTCCATCACCAGGTGGGTAGATATGATCCATTAATTTCCCCACAGTCTTTCATAAGATAATATGCTTCTACAGCTTCAGTGGACTTAAATGTTTACCTGCCTATCAGCTTTTCTTTTTCATAACTTTATTTCTTCTAAAAGATACAGTCTTATTTTGAGGCATCTGTTTCCTCAAGTATCTAGCTCAGGACCTGTACAGTACACAGCAACATCCATCAATGAAGTTAAGAATGGTGAATGAATGAGTGAATGGATGAATAAATGTACACAAACAAGACAGCTGTATATGAATATTAAATATTGACACATTCTTTCCATTGAAAGTCTCCTAGTTTTCTTTTTTAAACACACTATCCCATTTTTCCAACTAATACTTTGCTGCTTCCTCATAGTACTGCTAACTAGTTCTGAGTGGAAGTTGAAACTATTGGGAATAATAATGATAAATCCATATCTCTAGACTAGAATTTTACACTTATCAAGGTTGATTCACACATTCACACTTTCTCTCTTCTATAAAGAAATGTCAATCCTCCCATTATTTTAACTATACTGCCCCCTATTCCCAAAGTCACTGATGTACCACACACATAGTGACAACTTCTCACAGTTACCACATATAACATCCTTGAGGTTTAAGACTAAAGTGTAAATGTCTTGAAAACATGTAATATTTGGGGTTCAGCTATAATAATGTGCTGGAAAATGGCATCATCTGTCTAACAAGTGGAGATAAACAAAAGTTTGAACAAGGCCTATTGTGTTCGATACAGCCATTTAACTCTACTTTTTTCACAGAAAAAAGTTTTTCACAGAACTGGTCATAATCATGCAATGTTAGGGAGTTATGCAAGTTGCATAAATTACTGACACATTCATGTGCCTTATTTCTCTGTCTCTGTCTTCTTATCTATAAAATAGGAACAAAAATAACTACCTGCATATGATATCAGTAGCACACATAAAGGATTCTACACATTGCCAAGCACATATCAAGTATTCAAAAGATGTTAATTGCTATTATTACTGTTATTATTACTGTTTATGACTGTTTTTATGTTTTTTTCTACTCTTGAACTAAGAAAATAGTTCTTCATAATCCACTGTGCAAAAAACACAAGATTGTAAATGACGCTTTTTAATTCTCTACCCATTTTGAATGTTCTTTCTGCTTTGAGTCTTGAGCCAATTTTTTAAAACCAGGTGTCATCACAGATAGAAGAAAAGTTTTCAACTGGCCAAATTTGAATGTTCCTTGGCTTGTCATTCCCTGAAAACAAACCATACAACTCCTCTGACTACCAGATGTGCCAACTATTTGAGCGCTGGTTTTCGTTTTGAAATATCGCTTATTTTTAGAGACTGCACGATGTTTTTTAAAAATGTGTTTACTGCTCAAATGAGAATCTGAGTGGATGGCATTCTGAGTACCACACACATCCTAGCCAAAATTACTACATGCTGGTGGGAATGCAAACATTTTATATTTTCAAGTTTATGAACTGAGAGGTCATCCTCCCAGGGGTATGTTTTTGATTATAATCTTCATTAGTTAAAGGGTTCTATTGAAGTCAAATACTAGTTGATTATGTTGCAATTATCCCTGCTGAGGCTACATCTTCATAGTTTATGTTTATCTGCTGTTTCCTCTAAAAATGACATAGTCTTAAGAGGAACAGAAATGGCATATATATGGGAGGGCATAGGTAGAAGTAATCAAAAAAATTTTGGTTACTACTGTTCATTCAACTGTTACTATCAAATGCTAACACAGCCAGGCAGTCCTTGCATACAGAGACACTGGTGAGCAAATGGACAAAGTCTTGACCCTTACCTACAGTGCCAGCATTATGATCATGAAGATGCATATCGATCAACAATTTATCATAAGAAAGGTGATCCTTCCCCCTTCATTGGGTCAGATGAAATGGCTTCCTTTATAGGTCAAACATCATTGAATGAGAGTAATTTTTATGTGGTTCTATCTAATGTATATACAGGATCTTATAGCGTTACCTTATAGAGATAATAGATATGAGGATTTGGACCTTTCCTAACCACTGTGACAGAAACAATAATAATGCCTAATTTACAGGGTGAAACATGTTAGTACACATCAGTATGTACCTTACAACTTCTAATGATGACGCTTTCCTTCCTGACCTTCTCTAGAAAACATTTTAAATCTGGAAAATAGTTTTAAGAATAGAATCATGAATTCTCTTTATTTTTTCAAGCTAAACTTAATCTAGTGACTTACCTATCCATGCATCTGTCTCTCTCTATAAGCTTATTGTCATTATTAAATTTGTTGAGCCATTTAAAAATGTCATAGTTGTTATTCCCTGAACCCCTAAGTACATAACAATAAGACAATCATCAAATTCAAGACATTTAACAATGATACATTACTAGTATTACTAGTATATAACTTACTGTTTTTATTCCAATATTACCATTTATCCCAATGATAACCATAAGAGGAAATGTTTTCCAATCCAGAAGTACGCATTTCAAGGAAAGACTTTAAGATGCATGCTGAGATGGATTTTTAAGAACTAGTTAGTAATTCACTACACACTAGGATTGAAGACAGATGGAAAAATAGAAAAGCAGAGGAAGAAAAAAATGAGTGTTAATAACATAGAACATAATAGCTAAGGGCATGGATTTGGACTCTAGCGCCACCACTTACTCCCTATCTGACCTTGGGCAACTCAGCTCTGTATACCTTGATCTCTATGATGGAGTTAATACTAATACTCACATAGGTGG